GAGATAGAGCACATGAGTCAAGTTAAATGTATAAGTGTAGGACTAAGGGTTTGTGACTTGGCCGAGTAATGTGCCCACTTGATGTGTGAATGAAAAATAAGGCTATCACATAGATTTCGGCGAAGGTTGAAGAGTTAGAAAAGCAAGTCAGATATCCATTGTGATTTATCTTGAATAAAGAGAAGTAAATTTGCGTGAGAAATATTTCCTTCCACATAGTTTGCGCTGTTCAAGAAAGCATGAGCAACCAAGGAAGTTATTTAATCAGTCAACGGGCTAAAGCTGGCACAATCTCGGACGCTAATTTTGAAATGGTGTGATGGAAAGTTAACATAGGAACATAAACCTATCTAACCTGGAAATGCGCAAGGAGATATCATACCATTGGAAGGAAGGGAAGGGAAGGGGAGGGGAGGGGGTTTGGAATGACGTGGCTCGACTGGATGAAGAAAATAACTTCTCCATAAATGTTTCTGGTAGGTTTGCTTGAACATTGTCAAGGTTGCTTTGCTGGAAGTGGTCGACAACTGGGCAATAAAGGCTTGTCGAAGGTGATTCTTTGAGCGTTTCTGGTCAATATAACCACATATTGGCAAATTGTTTGACTTCCATTATAAAGACAGAGGCAAAAGAGAATTCTTTTTTGCCTAAGCAGCAGTCAACAATTGAATTAATACTTCTATCGAGTGGAATGTGGTCAGACAATAATTGCACAGACCGTTTTCTGGCTGGAGGACTCGTATATCCAGAGATGGGAGTGGGAAATGAACATTCGGAAGTATAATGCAAGGCAGAAGTAACTAGCGTGTTTCCCACAAAGTCAGCGTAAAAGTTCGACAAAGTCAACCGCTGCTCAAAATATTACAACAAGCATGAAGATTAGTAAGATTTGAGTTGTTTTATTTGCTATATCAGCCTCCAATATCGTAAGCGACTAAACAGCAAATTGAAGATGGACATCGCTCCATGCCCTCTTGTTGATCAAAATCTCCGTCATCTCCAAGTCATGCGTCGTGTTTTGGCTTGTAATGCAGTCAAACTAACGTGTTTCCCACAAAACCGATTCCGTGAATCCACCTAGGCAATGTTGATGAAGGGAAGAGAGGTTGATTGTGATGGCTAGAGAAAAGGATGGAACTGCAGGTCAATGCAATGGAGCAGTTCTTGCATGAGTACACATTCCACCAGCACCTCCGTGAACAATAATAGACTATGTTCTCAACTATGATAGTATTTACTGTGGTCTAGACAAATTGTCCGAGATATGCATAATGATTCACGTGAAATGAATACCACTTCACAAGTGAAACTAGAAGAGGCCGTGAGAACACAGTTCATTTCATTGTGTTAATTTGATTACGCTTCTGCACTGAGACAGTGATGGCATGAGCAATCAGTGTCACTTCCACTGCTACTTCAAGCGCGTGTTCACCTCAGTGGGACCAACATTAGTTGGGGACTAAGGCAACATTGAAAGTTGTGTGAAGAAGTAGACCAAGTTGATTCCAGAATGACGTAAATATGAGGCATTTATTTATTTCAAATGACAGGCATTTTGGTAGTTATCATTAGCCCTTTAGTTGACTTCGTGCTTCACAGAAGGGAGGAACATTAAAGTGAGAAAAATTCGACAGGGGGGAAAGAAGAGCGATTCACAGATGTAACAGACAGACAGACAGACACAAAGGCAGAGAAAAGGGCAGATGAGTACTGTGGAAGGGGTCGAATATGACATACAGTGGGGTTATGGAAGCTTGAAGTCAGAGATCAACTGCCAGTCAATAGACTTTTTGCCGTATGAGTATACGTTGCCCAGGGTGCACCACGTGGAGGTAAGTCTATCGCACACCCCAAAAAGTCAGCAACCATTCGGGCTCAAAAGCAAAAGTACATTCTCCTTGAAGGAAGTACTCCTTTCAAAATTATTTAAAAGTCAGAAAGATTGTATTCGGACATACCAGTAAAAGTACACTTTTCTTAATCTAATCTTTCTCTCTCTCTCAATGTGAAATGCAATTCATTTCCACTTTATTTAAATTGCATCACATTATTATTACCATTATTATTATTAATACCTGTAGTATTATCATAATTTGTCGAATTATTAAGAAATGTGGAATATTCAATCGTCTGAGGCAAGTGAAATTGGATGAAGAATGATCTTATAAATACTAACTCGTCTTTCTCCCATGCCTTCCACACACTCAGTACTGACGCTTTTTTTTGCTTTACTTCCTACCATTCCCACTTTCTTATGCCTTTCCACTTCTTCGCTCTCCACAACACTTCATTTCCATCTTCGTCCTTCCTTTCCCCAATCTCACTCCCCCCTCCTCCCCCTCTTCCACACACACTTTGATAAGTCTGCCATCTTGGGGAATATGGTTCGTAGTGCAAGTGCATTTGGGAGTCCAATTCAGTGGATTTTGTGAAGTAGTCCTGGGGCAGAATTTCATAGCAATTTGGGCATATTACTGAATGCAGTTTCTCTATTTGTCTTGCAACTGCCGACCTCGATGTATTCCCAATCAAAGAGACAGTAGTTGAATACTCATGCGCACGCTCGCACACACGCACGATTTCTATTGGTTTGCACTGTCGCGTGTGCGAGCGATTGTCTTCTCACTTCTCAAACGGCCAATCATGATGTTGATCTCATACAGCCGCACCTGGCGTTGCGTATATAAAACTTTGAACTACTCACCTTTCAGCATAAACCCCATTGAGATAAAACACGCAACCGAAGACTCTATTGTCGTCTGAAGTCGGCTCAGTGCGTATACCCTTAAATAATAAAGCGGATTTACTCTGCTTTACAGGTTAATTTTTACAAAACAATAAGAACAATATTCTAAATGTGAGTTTTTTCAGTTTTTTAATTACCACAAACGTTATTATTATTATTATTATTTCAAATGGCTTCGGATTTCCCCACGGGGGGGGGGAGGGGTACATATATAGTAGTTAACTAACAGTAGTTCATAAGATGTCTTCTGGCTTCCGGGTATCTCTGGGTTTCCGTTCTTATCTTTAGGGCTGGACGCCGAATCAAGTGGGACTTCTCCATTTCCTCTTGTAGGTCACATGGGGGCATGCTGGTTGAGTGTAAACTCCTAATCTGTGAAGGTATTTTGCAAGGCAATCGTGTCCAGAGCGTAGTTTAAATTCAGCAACGGCTTCGATTCATGGCCAGTCGACTATGTCGGAGAGTGCCACTGTCCACTGTTTCTCCTTTGTTCTAGCGTTATGTTCGTTGCACTTTGAGGTCTTGAGGTCTTTTCTGATTGGGGTCTTCATTGTGTGGAAAGAGAGCAGCCAGTCTATGCCTAGCAAAATTGTTGTCCCCTTCTTAGCAAGTGCGTCAGCAAGCTCAGTGCCTTTAATGCCACAGTGTCAAGGGAACCATTGTAGGACCACTGTTTTGATTGTTTCTCTCAAGCGCCATTGAGCGCATTTGTTGTGGAGAGGTGTTTGCTCTCCTGAAGTAGTCTTCGAGAGGACTTTTTGCACTTTGCATTAAGTTCGCGGGGACGGAATTGGTTGATAAGTACTTTATTTGGTATTGTTATGTCTTCCTTAATTTCACCAAACTGTCTTACTTGTATCTTTTAATCTCTTGAAGATTATCTCCCCAAAAGGGTTTTCTTCTGCTTATTGGAATAGATCCTCGCAAAGTAGTTGTCTATTCGGAGTCTGTGGTAAGAAGTTTGTTGTTTAAGCTTATTGGTTCCTTCCTGAGTCTTTCCCTGTTGTTATGGTGATTCCCCGGGAATTTGAAGTTGTGTTGGCTATAAGTTGATAGTTGATATTTGAGATGAAGTCATCAGAGGTAATCTGTTTAGCATGTAAGATGGCCTGCCTTGGGACAGATGACTGCCGTCTCCAGGCTTGTAAGTCTTCCGTATTTCCAGTTTGATCAGTAGTGTTTGCGAAGTGCATCCCACTTTCTTTGCAGTTCCTCAAGGTGTTCAAACCAAAACACTCGAAATTGTTTAGTCTTGAAACGAGGAATAGTTCCATTGTAGTGCAGATATGTAGCAGGAACCTCATCGCTATAAGTAAGTTCTGGAGGGTTGCTGTTAAGCATGTCGTCGATTTCCTTTACAGCTGTGTTTATGTGAGATGTGTGAGTTGTGGAGAAGACCAAAGTTGGGATTATTCTGTGGTGGATTATAAACCGCATATATCTTGAAGTAGTTTTGACATTTTCAAACATTTAGTCTGATTATTTTGCATATATCTTGCGTCGAACCCATACTCTTGATTAGATCAAAATGTGATGTGAGGCCTTCTTTTACTCCAGTCAAAACTCCACTCGCAACTTGCCGGTATTTAGGTAGAAGGTATAAGGTGTGACCTGGAAATTGATAGAATTTAAGTTTGTCATACGTAAGGTTGGCTTCCATAATTGTGACTATGTCTTTATCATAGTTATGTAGGAATTTCTGGATTTGGGTCTTCTTGTCCTGTGACATCCATCCAGAATTCCATTGAAGATGTGTAGAAGTTGTGATTCGCCCTGACGATGGCGATTTCTCTTATAGCTTTGTTTCAAGCTGATCACAATAATTTGAAGTGAAATGCCGAGTTATAGACTTTTTTTGCTGTATGAGTATACGTTGTCCAGGGTGCACCACGTGGAGTTAAGACTATCGCTCATCCCTACTTTAAACCTTTAACCCTCTTTCTCTTCAATTCTTCCTATCCCCTAGCATAGACCTGTAAGTAATGCTTTTAAAGCCACCAATGTGGTAGCTGCCGCATCAGCTCCCCTATGGTGAAGTTGTTCACTGGATGTTAAGCCCGAGGCTGTACTCACTCCTTTCACCACCCCCCCCCACACTCCTTTTGCCTCAAACTTCCACATTGCATTATCCCTATCCGGATAGCCGAGGTTCCTTAGTTCACTAATTGTCTTTTCAGTAGCTTTATTCGATTTGATTTGATTTGATTTGTTTTGTCTTGTTTTGTTTACTTTCGAAATATTATATATTTGGTAGATGCGGCACCCAGCTGGATCGTCTGATGCCAATTCAACAGAATTCAATGAATCCGATTTTGTTAACGGTTTGTCTTCAGTCATGAGGTCGTTTCTTAATTCGCTTCGGCGGCAAAATGATGTCTTTTCTCAACCCACACCTCTTACATTGCCCCCAATGCAGCCACCAACGGTCCACTCTTATCCAATCCCCCCCATGCAATGGCCAACGCTCACCACATATCCACCCAACACTCCGCTCATGCCGCCTCTTCTATTTTCACCCATTCTGCCACCTGAACTCATCCACAATTCCATCAGCTCAATTTTCAATTCAACTCCCCGTTTAAGTCATAATTTCTTCACTCGTCCCAATCATCCCCCATCAAATTCCTTAACCATTAATTTGCGATCCACATCATTACCTCGACCGGGACCTTCTAGTCGCTTGCGCAACCGTTGTAACCAATGTGAGGAAGTGTTTTCAACTGTTCGTGAACTGTCTCTGCACACAAGACAAATTCACACACACTTCCTGTGCTCATTCTGCCATGAGTGCTTTACTCAATATACCAACCTTCAAAGACACTCGCTAATACACCTGAATCAAATGCCATTTCTTTGCAAAATCTGCAATAGAGGCTACCGTAGAATGGATCATATTAAGAGACACATTCAAAGGATACATCCTAATGCCGATCCTCGATCTAACATCATCAACTCTATTCGCGGCTCGGAGTGTCATCGATATATTAATTCTCTGCCTTTCGCACGAAATACAGAAGAGCGATAAGTAGGGGTGTGGGGAGGTGGGTGGGAGTCCAGAAGATCCCAACATCAAATCCGATGAAGGATCCTGAACCAACATGTGGAATTTCTAATGGACTTGGTAAATTCCATCCTCCTCTACCCCCTAACTCACCCCATTCATCCCCACTCCTTCACTCCCCCCCCCCCCCCCTTCGCACTTCTACTCACTCATTAACAATATTTTTTAAATCCCCACTCTTCTCACATTCATGTGTGTTGTCGAGAAGGTGAAATATGTATTCATTTAATCGTCTGCGCTTGTTGCCTACTTTGTTGAAATAAGTAGAGTTGGCTCGAGACATTGCAAGATTGGCCATTATGGCATTGAGGTAGGAGGCTTTTACGGGTTGAAGGGTTTCATGTCCCCATATTGGCAGTGCGATTTAACCTTTGTCTGACTGTAAGTAAGCCGGTGTTGCCACTTCTTTGTTTTTCAAGAGGTTAGACGATCCAGCTGAAGATAGAAGGTGTTGGGCGTTGATCTAGTGATGTGTTATTTGGTGCCCAAGGTGCGTGTATTTTGTAGCATGGTGGAAAGCAGCTCAACTTTCAAATGTGGATAAATTGTGGGAGCTTATTAGTCAGAGTATTGGAGGAAATTGCCTAATTTATTTATTTATTTTTCATTCGTAGTTTGATTAGTAATTTATTTGAACTCATAATTTCTAAACACACTATCCTGTGCTTATTTCTATTGGAATTTCAATTTCTACTTTCCTACAGCCATGATGAGCAGGTAGAATGGACTTGCAACCGCATCTCCAACATGACAGGACTCCCCCCCCCCCATCCCTAGTTGACTTCGGCTTTCACAAGTGGGGAGGAGAGGAACATATATAGCAGTTAATTAATAGCAGTTCATTAGTTGTCTTCTGGCTTCCAAGTATCTCTGGGTTGCCGTCCTTATCTTTAGGGCTGGACACCGAATCAAATGGGACTTCTCCATTTCCTCTTGTGGGTCACATGGAGGGCATGCTGGTTGAGCGTAAACTCCTAATCTGTGAGGGCATTTTGCCTGGCAATCGTGTCCAGTGCGTAGTTTAAATTCAGCAACGGCTTCGATTTTCGACCAGGCGAATATGTCGGAGAGTGCCACTGTCCACTGTTTCTCCTTTGTGCTATATCGAAGAGTGCCACTGTCCACTGTTTCTGATTCTTGGCTAGTCGGCTATGTCGGAGAGTGCCACTGTCCACTGTTTCTCTTTTGTTGTTTAAGTTCGTTGCACCTTGAGATCTTGAATTCTCTTCTGAGTTATGTTCGTTGCAATTTGAGGTCTTGAGGTCTCCAATGATTGAGGTCTTCATTGTGTGGAAAGACATCAGCCAGTCTATGCCGTGCAAAATTGTTGCTCTTATAGCCCCATCTGTGTGAGATGTTCAGAAGATCAAAGTTGGGACTATTCTGAAGTGGATTCTACACGTCATATATCTTGAAGTGGCTTTGACATTTCTAAACATTTAGTCTGATTATTTCGCAAATGTCTTGCGACGAACCCATACTCTTGATTAGATCAAAATGTGATGTGAGGCCTTCTTTTACTCCAGTCAGAATTCTACTTGCAACTTGCCGGTATTTAGGTAGAAGGTATAAGGTATGACCTAGGAATTGGTAGAATTTAAGTTTGTCATACCATGATTGTGACTATGTCTATATCATAGTTATGTAGGAATTTCTGGATTTGGGTCTTCATGTCCTGTGACATCCATCCAGAATTCCACTGAAGGATGTGTAGAAGTTGTGATTCGCCCTGACGATGGCGATTTCTCTTATAGCTTTGTTTCAAGCTGATCACAATAATTTGAAGTGAAATGCCGAGTTATAGACTTTTTTTGCTGTATGAGTATACGTTGTCCAAGGTGCACCACGTGAAGGTAAGTCTATCGCACACCCCAGGTTAATTTAATTAACAGCAGTTTTTAACTCTCCATTGATCGAACCTACTCGAACACGAGTACTTCCAATTGTTTCATTTCCTATCGACATATTCAAATCCAATTAAGACATAATAGATTTTATGTCACTAGTGTGCTTCTTATTACTAAATAATTGCAAAATACAAGGTCACCCAGTAAATTCCTCTTCTCTCTACTAATGATCTTTAGAAAAAATCTTTGACTCAGGAAAACTGACAAATAGTGAATTTGTCACTTAATTAATGGTTTATGTCATGGCAAGATTTTAGCTTGACCATTGAGGGAAATTACAATTCTAAATGTCCTTACTTACTCTAATTTGTTTCCCTGATTTGGTCGGAGTTGGGGGAGGGGGGAGGCCTAGGGTCACCTTAATTATGGTGAAGGACCATCACGTTGGTCCCCTATTTTAATCACCACATATCGACTAAATTTTGAGTATGAGACATATTATGTTCCTAATATTTTTGTCCGATTGACCTGATTTCAGTGACAAGTGCACGAAAACTGCCATCGACGTGTGCACTCTGACTTCATATGCATTCTGACGTTGATGAAGAAAAATAACAAATTGGTTATTTAAGGGGGTATTCTAGTCTAGAGACATGAATTTTAGGTCATTTTTGAAGTGCTGTAAAAAAGGCAAGCAATATTTTTATTATCAATTTTTTATACCTTATTTATTTACCTTAGAAGCACACAAAAAATAAACAAATATAAAATTTAAAATTGCGTTAGTTATCAGCTGATGGAGTGGGGCATCTCAAAAATATGGTACATGACCATACCCACGATTTTAACTCTCCAAGCAATCTGAAATCAGAAAATAAAAAGCATTATCAATCTACAATAATATCGCTATGTCAGGAACAACGAAAAAGTTTTAGATATATTTTTTTACAAAATGGCGACTGTCTAAAGAAAAAAACTATTTTTGTACCCCTCATTTAAACATTCTTCGATTTTTTTTAAAAATAGTAAAGATTAAAATTTGGAGATGGCCGTAGTTCCGGACATAGCCGAGTTCCTAAAGAGGACTCTCTTAAAATTTCAAGTAAATCGGTTTGGCAGAATGTGAGAAATCGTGGGTATCGGATTCAAAAAAACAGGTTTGAGAAAAACGCGTTTAAAGTTTCAAGTAAACTTTTTGCTGTCTAAGTCATAAAATTGCATTTTTAACTTACATTATTCAATCTGCCATTCCTGCTGCATACATCGCCCCTTTCCCGACTTCGAAAAAGCTATTTTCGGCGTCTCTGCTTTCTATTCGAGCAGTTCTGGCCTCCATTGATGCGCTGGAATCTCGGAGCGGTCAATCCGGGCGTTGTCTTGTCTGATAGCAAATGCTTGCGCTTCTGAAACAATTTGCACTCCCATAATCGTCATTATCTACAATATCGGCATAAATCCTTCATTAAAAATACACATAGCAATAAATGTTGCTATTTCAATGATCTGAGACCCGGAATGTCTCCATATCAGTGAGTTTAGAGACTCATTAGTATTTTGGGTTTCTGAACCCAAACATCGAATCAATAACTCTTCTGATGATAAACATTGAAGGATTTGTCAACCAATGGACATGATGGAATGTAGCATAGACTATTGCAACTGTATTATAATGCAATTTTGAACCCGAGTCCGCGTTGTGCCGTTCTTGGAATTATAATCTCGTTGTTGTATGTAGTACACGAAATAAACGAAGCAATTGGTGAAAAGACCGTGAAAAACTCCAAAACACAGTGGCCGTAATCATTATCTATAATTACTTCTTCATCATTTGATTTTCTCTATTGCCGTGAAATATATATATATAATTATATATATAAATATAGATAGATAGATAGATAGATATAACGGAACAAAAGGTCTTTCAAAAAATATAGATTCAGATAGTCGGAGAACCCATTATGTCTTTTGTTCGATTAGTTGCAGCCCAACCGATTTGAATGCCTACTCAGCAAAATACTTATATCTCCGAAACTAATTTGAATTTTGGAAAATCCTCTTGTAGCCATATTCTTGAATAGTTAAACTATGAAAATATGCAAGAAAAAATTCGAAAATTATTTTTTCTAGACCAGAATATCTCCTTAAGTGAACAGTTATTTTTGGTATCCATTTTGACGGACTATAAACGGTGTCAGGGCCGTGGGGGTTTACTTAAACGGACTTTTCTCCCATTTCTCTTGTGGGGTGTGCGATAGACTTACCTCCACGTGGTGCTCTCTGGGCAACGTATTCTCATACGGCAAAAAATATTCTATAAACCGGTTGTTGACTTCTGACTTCAAAATACCATCATTCCACTTTATGTCATATTCGACTACTTTCACAGTACTCACCTCACCTGTCATATTCGACTACTTTCACAGTACTCACCTCACCTTCTCTCTACCTTTGTGTCTGTCTCTTTTACATCTTGGAAACACTCTTCCGGCCCCCCCCCTTCTCGAATTTTGTCACTTTGATGTTCCTTCCCCTTTGTGAAGCCTGAAGTCAACTAAAGGGCTATTGGTAACTATCAAAACGTTTGCCATTCGATATAAATAATTGTCTCGCCCCTTTCAGACCATTAAAATATCCTTTTTCTCGAATTAAATTCCAAAATGGGGACGATTATTAGAATTTACAGTGAGGTCCAATTTCAATGCTCATTAACTTAGAAACGATCTACTTATAAGGCTAATAAGAAAGAAAATTTCGAACGCTGACTTCTCAAAGCATCTTTACACAAACTTGACAATTTCTTGACATCAACAGTAAACATCAACGATTCATCTGGCACAAATCCAATATCAAGCCTAAGAAATTGAATGGTCACTACTTCGATAGTCGATAAGTCATTGTCGAAGTATGTTCAAAAGACTCGAAGCTACCTCATGCCCCTTACTTCTTTCCTCCAAACAGGGCTGTTGTGAAAGTAAACAGAGCAAATATATGAGAAGGTAAAGGACTCAACGCTTTTCGACATGCATTTGGTGGATGATTAGCTGTGGTCATGAACGAGTTAGTTTCATTAGAGGGCAACACTTCAGGCATCCTCAAACGTGTCCATAAAATTCGACTAAAATTAGGAAATGCAACTATTGCTTTGTAGGTCTATGCTGAAATATTAGGCTATCCTGGTGGAATAATTTGTTTATTTATATCTATTTTATTTATTTCAAATGGCAGGCATTTTGGTAGTTATCATTAGCCCTTTAGGGCTTCACAGGACAGCTATCATTAGCCATTTAGCTGACTTCGGGCTTCACAGAAGGTAGGAGCATTAAAGTGCGAAGAAATGATATAGGGTAAGAAGAGCGATTCACAGATGTAACAGACAGACAGACAGATTCGACAAGGGGTAAGAAGAGCGATTCACAGATGTAACAGACAGACAGACAGACACAAAGGGTTTCTTTGCATTTATGATTTTTTGAATTTCGACATTTGCAGATAGTTAGGATATTCAGGGTGTTTAGAATGGGCGGATTTGAATGGGCAGAGAAGAGCATCAACAATGTTTACTGTAGTTAAATTTACAATTTTTGATTCTCGTTTAATTTTCTCATTCAAACCAGCGAATACGATTGAAGCTGAAAGTATTTGGATTGTCCACATCAATTGGCGATCTACGTCGTTCTTAACCTGGTTGGGGAACAAGTAACGACTTAAGACAACTCTTGAATGCCTCGAAAGGCGAAAGTACTTCTTGGATTTTTCGATAAGCTAGTTCATTTCGACTAGAATAAGAAATTTATCTTTGTGCAAATTAGATTTATAATCCCTCTTGTTGATAGTAATCTCCAAGTCATGCGTCGTGCTTATGTTTGTAATAGAATCAAACCAACGCGATTTTTTAAGAAACTGATTCCTTAAATCCACATAACAAAGGTTGGTGAAGAGAACAGAAATTGATTGAGAATCAGACTACTGTACACACTAATTTCCTAGCTTCTTCTTCAAGCACCACGATATTAATTTGGGCCACAATGGGCACAAAAATCAACGAAACTGAAGGTCATTACAGAAGAGCAGTTCCTACATGACATTTAGTACATTCAATCAGCTCCTTTTTTGGCACTAATCCAACTCACTGTTTATCTCAGATCCCAACTTTACAAATTCCTCAGACTACCACACTTTCCATTAGTCTTAAAACTAAGGTCAGAACTTAAGAGGCCGTGTGAATCCATTTCATATTAGTGCTCAAATTCAGTCAGTTTTAGGTAATCAACATCGATTTTATCTCTTCCCTCTTCCCCCCCCCCCCACCACTACTTCACCTCCTCCTCCCTCTCTCCCTACCTCCCTTTCCTTTTCAAGTCTGCCTTGGACACACCAGTTGTTACAGACCACCAACGCCTACTGTCACAGTTTCGCCACATTGAAAGTCTTGCATGTGAGAAGATGGCAATTGAATGCACACTCGGGACAGCTGATACACGCGCACGCACTGACGCACCACTATGCGTGAGTGGATGGTAGCAGATTGCGCAATTCTCATTGGTGAGCACTACCACGTGTGAATGCGCATTTATCTACACCCTCTCCTATACACCCGTTCAAATCCTTCGCGCAAACATTCTTCACTTGCTGCCACGTGCGCACTTCCTGAGCCTATTTAAGAGCTTTTCTACCTCTGTCTTGCAGTAAATCGTACAATTCTCAGCTACACTTCGTGCACGATTACTTCACGAGGACAAACAAACACTCTCTCTTATGGTGAGTCTGTCAGTTACTTTGATCATCACCACATAATCTTCCCCTTATCCTGTCTTCCCTCCCCATACTGGGATGTGCGTGTATGTGGGGCAGTGATTTCCACCAATGGCATTGTGGCCGCTACGCTTCCAGTGTAGTTCACCTGACCACTGACAGTTCAGCCCGACATCAGACTGCCAATTCCCACTCAAATCCTACTTAATCATTACTCCCTTAAATTTTATTTGTCTTCTCCCAATTGAGGAATTTTATTCACAGACTAAATATCGCATACATATATTTAAATGCTCAAGTTGGGGTCTATTAGTCCCAATCACTTTAACATTTTCTTTTCAGATGGATTTATTACTGACCAACCCAAGGTTTAACACCAATAATCTAATGCCACAAGGCCTTATTGATGTTCTGAAAAGTGGATTCAATCTCAACGATTTGCCCTACGATCTTCTCACTGAAAAACAGGAAAGTTCTTCTTCCTCTTCATCAGAAAATAATGCTTCTTCCCCATCTACACCTCCAACATTCCCTTCAATGCCTGTTGCGTGCTCTGATGTTCCTTACGATGAGACGGTTGCCGACACTGAGGCCCTCAAGGATAAGCTACGACATGCGCTCAAAGACATAATTCCACACAAATCCACCTTGCAAATCCAAGTACTAGTTGCTTATACTGTTGATGACAGCAAGAAGGATGTTATTTTAATCAACGAAACTTATCATCAGACGAAACACGATCAAACGACAACTACAGTAACTAACAATGTTCTTGACCTTTCGCAAAAGTCAGATGAAGATTCCTCGAAATCTTCTGTATCTGAAAATGAACTTGGTGATTTGTTGTCAGCTCCATCAGTACCAATTGGGAACCTTCTTCCTAATCATTCGGCACCTCTTGGCCTTCCCTCTCAAACTTCCAATCCACTCACTTTGAATCAAGACAGTATGACTCAGTTGTTGCGAGGCTTTTTAAATAGCACTAATACCCCTTTTCTAAATCTACTGCAGTCCACAGTCAATTCCTTCAATTTCTCATTTCCAATTAGCCTTCCATCTCTTCCTCCATACACTGCCAACAATTCTGACGTGAAAAGATTCGCTCCAATTACACCAAATATCCCCATCACAAACTCTGATTGCATCCAACCGAATTCAATTTCAAAAGTAAATGACACTGAAAGCTTGAATCCCTTCGCAGTTCCTAAGCTTGGCTCATCAAATTCATCAACAATGGCATTTTGCCCCTTTCCAAGGCTTCCAAGCCGTCCTTCACGCCGAAGACGCTATTTTCAGTCCCGACGCTTCGCTTGTAACCAATGCAAAGTGCACTTTTCATCTGTAACTGAACTGACTCGACACACTCTGGAGGTTCACAATTCATTTCGGTGTAATTATTGCAATGCAAAGTTTACCCAAAGATCCAACCTCCAAAGACACTCTCTGAAACACGTTGGGTTCAAGCCCTTCACTTGTAATGTCTGCAACAGAGGATATTGCAGGAAGGATCATCTTGTCCGACATATCGAAGCCGTGCATCCCAATGTTGATCCTCGTTTGAGCATCACCACTCACCTTAACTCCTCAGAATGTCTTGAATTCCTTGAAAAGTCACATCCCAAATTGGATGGAAACAACAGCAGTACTCAGTCCACTCTAGAAGCAACAAATCATGGTTCAGTAAACTCTCCCGCAACATCTGATGACGATTTCATATTGGCCAACGGAGGACCTTCTCTTCTACCTGTTGCTCAAGAACATACAGTCCAGTCAATCGATCAGACTGTTGAACAGTCTTCTTTCCAACCAATGGAAGAATGAAAATAGTTCGCACCAATTGAAGCTGCAGTTGCTGTATTTCAAATGCGCCATATTATGAATTGTCCAGTTACTATTATTTCTGGCTCTTTTCTTTGCAGGCAACACAGTCTCTTCTAATGTGCTCTCTTAATCTACTTATCGTGATCTCTTTAATTATCAATTCCTTCATGTGCTTATGTTTACATCATGATGGTATTAAACTTTATCGGGTTATTGTTCATCTGGTCATTTGCTCTTTATTTTAAATCAGCGGTGTTGAAATGGGACATTCACGTGCCACTTTGAGATAACTCCAATGTCTTCACGTGTTGCATGGTTGACGGTTCCATTATGACTGTCAATTTCATAATGCAATTAAGTTGGGGGTGAGGTGGGGGGGGGGTTCTATTCTTCGCCTAGATGAAACGTTAATGATGTAGTTAGGAGAAAGTGCCTTAGGTCAACAATTTCCAGTTGAGTAAAGCGAAGGTTCTAATTCTGGAACGTGAAAAGGATAATTTTTCCTGTCAAAAGAAGCTTTTTTTCTATTCGAAACCCGTAGTCAAGGTATGCTGAGTTATTATTACTGGTGTAAGATTTCTTATTCCAAAAAATGATAAATCTATTGCCATTTTAATCCAACAAGAGAGAGAATTATGGAGTGAATTAAAATACTTGACTTCTTCATTATGTTTTGACTAATTCTTAATTCATTATCATTATATATTTCATTCCAGATTATCCTAAATTTAATCAAGGTCATATAACACTGATTTGTTTCCTTATAGTTGGATATTTTTTAGAAAAATGCCGTTAATATCGTTCTTGATACTCTTTCTGTAACCATAACAATTTTAATTCAAAAAATCCGTAATCTTATGCTCTCTCACAGTACTTATTCTTTTTAAATCGTTATTTGATTTCAACGAACTTTTATAGCTCAATATGCGAACTTTGAAATTACAAAAGGACTAATATATTTCTACACTACCACCAGATGAAATATTTTTCTTTTTGAAACAAGCTACTAATCATTTCCCTAAATCATTCCCTATTTAAGACAATTTTTACCGTTTTCATAAAATTATGAATACCAATTGCTTAATGTAAAATATTTGCTCTCAGAAAAGCTCTTAATAGTCATTATAAACTCTATAACTTGTCGATTCATTCAAAAATGCGTCTTTAAAATTTTACTTATATTATTCAGTAGTATGCTTTTAGTCTCAAAATAGATGAAATCTTGCCTGTTTTTACGAAAATAATATTTCCATATTCATTACACCATTTATTTACTAACTATCTACATGAATCTTACTTAATAATGTCTAAAAAAATATTTTCATTGATAGGATGAAAGGATGTGTTGTAGCAAAAAATATAGACCTTAATTAAAATGATTCGCAATGACAAAATTTATCGGGATGTGATAAACCCTCAGAACACATTTTCAAGAAAAAAACCAAATTCCTCATGTTTTATTTTAATGCACGATCAATCTTCTATATTATTATAGGGGGGAGAGATATGGGTTTGGTGATCGAAGGTTTAAATAAAAAATATGAATTTAACCGAGGAAAAGACGACGTAGAATACTTTAAATTATAACAAACGCAGACTTATACTTCGAATTACATTATAGCGAAGAAAACTAATTGCTCAAAATAATTACTTGGATAAAATACTAACCACTCGGAGATAAAATGGACAAATATTGGAAAATGGAATGTATGACCTAATAGGAACTCGACTAAACAACGACCGGAAGTAAGGATGACGTGCAAGTGAATTAGAGAGAAAGGGTAGTAGTTAGGACCACATGAGAGACAATGACTACCACATGGCGAAATGCGCATGATAGAAAACAATTAACAGTGCTAGACATGAGATTGAAACGGCAATACGTCGCTGACTTAAAGTAGTACCATTAAGAAGGATGGAGTTGGCAACGGAGCAGAAAAAGTGCACGAAGAAAACCTTCAATTTTTGTTGAAAAAAGGGTAAAGAACGTAATTGAACCCAACCAAGCGTTCTTTGATTTTTGTTGAAAGTAAGTAACACTCGATTATAAAGGTTGCTCCTTGAAGCTGGTTTTGGTATTTTTTGAGCTTAATATCCGGGAAACTCTTCTGATCTTGTTGCGTTGGAGGAGGATAGCTTTAAACTTAGTCCTGAAACAGGTTGTTTATCAAACAATTAACATCTCCATATCAAAGTATGCTTTTATTGCACCCCATCGTTATTACAGCTCAATGAAATATAATTCAAATTTACCAATTATAATTGGTAGGCAATATCTTTATCTTTAAATCCTGTCATTTGAAATAAATTAATCTTTAAGATCATTAATAGAGATTGATTGCGCAGTAGACACGATTTCTACATAAGTGATAAACGTTTTCAATATTTTAATTAAAAAGAGAGTATTTCTAAAGTATCAATCTGCGCCCAAGCGATTCCTCCAATTCCAGTCAATCAATATTTTTATTTGGCTGAGGTATCCCCTTTAAAATATTTATTTATTTCAAATGGCAGGCGTTTCGATAGCTATCATTAACCATTTAGCTGACTTCGGGTTTCACAGAGGGAAGGTTCGTCAAAGTAGTAGAAAGTCGAGGGGTGGGGAATAGAAGAACGATTCACAGATGCTGAGACCACTACAAAAATTTGTGGATGAAATCAATATTGTCTATATGGGGGCCGTCTAATTCTGTCTTCATTGTGAGTTTCTTTGTGGCGGTCAAGACCGAGCAGACTGGGAGGTTTACCACAACTCCCTACGGTGTTCAACTATTTGAGGATAAAATAATGGTTGATTGAAGATTCCTTCATCCTTTTGTTTTAGCTACCAAGATTTAAATAGTAGAACGCAGGCCCATATACTTAATATCAATGCGAAAAGTACAAGCGATCATGAAAATTCATACGGTTAATTTATTTTAAAATCGGAAATTCCGGCGCATTGAATATCGCTCTCTAGCTTGTAGCTAGTTTTTTTAAGAACTTAATCAATTTAAAGATTACAGTCCACTTATTTCATATATCAATGCTCTATTTTTATCGATTAACATTACTCATACAACATAATCACAATTTCCCAAAAAAATATTCAAATGTTATAAATTTAAGTTCAGTGAATTCGTTTAAAGATATACCTCTGCCTTATTTCACAGGCAATTCGGTTTAACTAACACCAATAATCAGGTATAATTAATATTCTCTTTAATTTAAATTTAAAACGACTCATTCATTCATGCATCTGACTTTTCGCAACATTAAAAAGTTGGTCTCGTCATTAATGTTTTTGCATTGCTGTTAACTTATCTATTCCAGAATGTGTTTTTATTTGAATAGTACAATTTGATTAACTTCAGAGGCAGCAACTCTCAATCACAACTCTAAAAAATCTTCAATTGATGCTTTGAACTTTTGAAATGAGGAAATATGAGCGGGCTACTCTGTTGTAATCCTTTGTCAGTAAAGTCACTATAATCACAAATCGAATTAAACACTTGGAAGAATTGACTTTTCTAGAGAATTTGCGCACTGGGATACTTCGGAAGGTGAAAATCAGATGGTAGTGTATACGTGTGACAAGGTGAGGTACTAATAAGCACTTGATATGCTAACTGTTAATTATAAAGGCCAATTAAGCGAATGTGTCCTTAGATTTACCTATAAAAGACATCAAAATAAAATTACGCAAAAAAAAATTTGATAAATATTGGGATAAATAGGATATAATAATTTTTTTGATGGTGAAATACATTTGAGCTCAAAAGGATCATACATGTGGCAATGAGGTGAACAGGTCATCATATTGGCCTGGTGGGACATTAAGTGAAATGGACAAGTTTGGGACGAAGAGGTCAATATTGTGGTTAAAGTAGTAGTATCAAGTGAATGACTTAATCCTCGCGGTCTGAGTAGGTGTGGTGATCTCAAGGCAGCAATTTTTTATCAACACAACCACAAAATTTTCTAAGCCTATCCATACTTATTCATTCATTTATTTTATTTATTTATTTACATCAAATGGCAGGCGTTTTGATAGTTACCATTGGACAATTAGTTAACTTCAGGAATCACAGGAGGGAATGAACATCATAGAGAAAAAAGTCGAGAGGGAGGAGGGGAACAGAAGAGTGTTTCAAAGATGCAAGAGACAGACAGGTAAGGTGAGGTGAGTACTGTGGAAGTTTTGGAATATGACATGCAGTGGGGTGATGGTAGTTTGAAGTCAGAAGTCAACTGGCGGTTTATAGACTTTTTTGTCATAAGAGTATACGTTGTCTAGGATGCACCACGTGGAGGTAAGTCTATCGCACACCCCAGCCTATCCATACTAATTTCACACCAATTTGATGTCCCATTCACCCCATTCCTATATATTTGTAATTGGAGTGCCGCATTCCCTACGTCTAAAATTCTAATATATCGTTACCACATCAAGCCAAATACGTATATGTCATTTGGCAGTACCGTTATTGCAATCATGTGGGCAATTATATTCAAAACGTTCTTGTGTTAAACAATTATCGAGACATTTTACCACATTAAATACCATTGACTACTTAAGTGATTATTCAAAATCGTCGATTGTCTAATGTACCTGACATTGGTGTGGAAAAGTTATCGAATAATTAGGGGAACCTGAATATTGTAGACNGTACTGTGGAAGAGGTCGAATACGACAACCAGGGGGTCGTGGTAGTTTGAAGTCAGAAGTCAACTGGCGGTTTATAGACTTTTTTGTCATAAGAGTATACGTTGTCTAGGATGCACCACGTGGAGGTAAGTCTATCGCACACCCCAGCCTATCCATACTAATTTCACACCAATTTGATGTCCCATTCACCCCATTCCTATATATTTGTAATTGGAGTGCCGCATTCCCTACGTCTAAAATTCTAATATATCGTTACCACATCAAGCCAAATACGTATATGTCATTTGGCAGTACCGTTATTGCAATCATGTGGGCAATTATATTCAAAACGTTCTTGTGTTAAACAATTATC